CCCCAAACCCCCAAAACCCCAAAACCCCAAAACCCCGATTAATTTGACATATTGAATAATTAAAAAGATGTTGGGAGGAGGACCTAGTGAACTCACTGCACAAGAATTTAACAAAAAGATAATTAATGAAGTACTCAAAGGAAAGAAAAAGGAGGAAGGCTCAGCTGAAGATCAAAAGATCCTCGATCAGCTACCTCAATGCCCTTTACATCCAATCAAGATGTCGAATCTAAAATGTAGGAAATGAAAGAAGATCAAAGCTCAGTTTGATAGGTTGAAAGGAAATGATCCTGATGAAGATTATTACTCAGGGAAGCCAAAGCAGATTGATCTTGACCAAATTGCAGAGGAATGGCTCAAATCAAATGAGTCGGAAGGACTTCCAATCCATGGAGATCCTTCAAAAGGAAATATAAACGATCTTTTAAGGGCGAATATCATGAGATGACAGTATTTTAAAATCGACTTGTATGAGCTCAAGACCTATCATGAGGTCATGAACGAGATTGATATCCATGTAGGATATGTTGAGCCATGGACCATCGGAACTCACGGAGTTCCATCAACTCTTTTCTGATGTCTTTACAAATTGATGTTAATGAGGTTAACTTTGAAGCAAATATTTGGATTAATAAAAGAAGGAAATGCATTTTCCAGATGCTGTGGATTTTTGTACATCAGATATCTTTGTAAGCCAGAACTTTTGTGGCACTTTTTGTCTCCATTTATGCTTGATGAGCAAAAATTTGTTCCTACACCAGCTACTGGTGAAGAAATAACCATAGGCGAGTACGTAGAGAAGCTACTAACAGAGCAGAATTACTATACAACTATACTTCCAAGGATTCCCGCTCTGATTGATAAGGAAATCCAGAAGAGAATCTTGCTAATTCCAGATAAAAGGATGAGGAAGAGGGAAAATTTGGATCATATAAACGAATTTGTTCCAGATAATCCTATATACTTTCTGGACAACACAAAAGGTGAGTGGGTTAAAGCCATATGCTCTGAAGTTCTACCTGAGGGGGTAAAAGTACTCTACAAGACAGATTCAGGTGAAGACACTATCAAGGCCGTTGACTTCTCCGAAGTCCTTCCTTGTTATGATGAGGAAAGTGAAGATGACCACTATAGTTCCGATCGGTCTTATGATAGAGATAAGGACCGGGAGAGAAGACATCGCAAGAAGAGTAAGAAATCTAGGAAGAGATCTCGTTCAAGAGACCGTGACAGGTCAGACTCTAATGGTAGAAGAAGAAAGAGACACAGAGAGGACAAGCATTCTAGAAGTTATAGGAAGAGAGATAGGAAAATTGATTTGAAGGAATTAGAAGAAGAGGTTAGACAAAGAAGAATGAATCAAGCTAGTAGCTCTACTAGGGCTGGTTATAGTAAGAAAGCAACTTCTTATAAGACAACCATGTCACTTGCAATGCCTGTGGGTATTAAGAATAGGAATTCAAGAAGTCCTACTCCTGAAAGAGAGTTTGTAGAAATTGAGAACAAAGCTAAAAATAGAAAGACTGAGAAGATACTTACGATTGACGAGGATGAGATCGAGAGACAGAACAAGCAACAGAATGAAAGACTTGAGAGACTTAAGAAATTATATCAGAATTAAATTTCAACGTTGATTAATGTTATGGGGTTTTGGGGTTTTGGGGTTTTGGGGTTTTGGGGTTTTGGGG